TGTCAACTTTCGTGTAGTCCCGATGGTTCTGTCAGACTTGTCCTCAGCTGCTTGGTTTGTGGTGATTATTTTTTTTCCTGAGAGCTAAATAGACGTGGGTGATGGAAACATAGCGAGCAAGCCCAAGAATGTATCTGAACTGCTGCTGTAGTAAATACATTTTATAAATGTGTGCCCACCCTGTGCTTCATTTCTTTAAGAGTTACCTCCCACCCCACCACCCTGCCCAGAGGTGAGGTGCTGAAGCCACATCAGTGCTATGTTCTCACCACTCATCGACCCCAGCTGACTGGATCAAAAGTGGGTATGAGATTCAGGGAAACCAATTCAGAGTGTATACTGGCATGGAAAAATGGCTTTCACCATTTGGTATTGGGACAAAGAAAGGTCAGGACGACTAACTGTCGGCAGTCATTTTGCAAGCTGATGTAAACTCAACCTGAAGGCCACCATTTAGAAGCAGATAAGACGTGCCATATATAAAGAGAGCAGAAGAATCAGCCTGAAGAGTCAGAGAAATATAAAGCCAGCCAGTAACAGAGACCAGTAAAGACTGTGTGATCCCAAAGAGTGAAATGAGTACTGATAGGACGGTCTGCCTTCACTTATATGTTGACTTTCCAGGTTCTCTTTCCAGTCCCGAGTGAAGTGTGAATGCCTGCCTTGCCCTTAGCATCTCAGACACACTCTGGATTCCTCCAGGGAAAGTCCCTTTTAGTTTAACCCACTTTGGATTTTTCCATCAAAACTATCCGTGGACATAATTAACTCTGACATTCTGAATCAGGCACCTCAGAGCTTTAGCCTTCAGAAGCAATACCATGCAGGCACAGAGATTCATTCCTACACTACTGTTGAGCCTGATTCTCGAATACCAAATGGAATACATCAAAGACGCTCTTTCTGCACAATCAGAGGAGATAAGAGGACTGGCAGGTGTCCAGCAGAAGATGGAGTTACATGAGGCAGCTCTTAATGCCCTAGTACTGGAGGAAGAGGCTTGGGGACTGTACCTATCAGGGACAGGGCTTCTTCCTGGGACTTGCTTCATTACTCTGTTCTTTACACTTAGCAGAACTCCAAGAGTTGGGTTTACATTTTGCACTGCCTGCTTTACGTATCAGCTGGCTCTTTTTTAACCAACCTTGATGTACAAGCCCTATCAAATTATGCTTGTTTTATTCGGCAAGGATAAAAATATTAAAGTTAAGTTTTAAAGCAGTGCCTTATGAAATATGCAACATGTTCTACAAAATGACACAACATACTTCCATTTTCCAAGCCCATGCTTGTTGACTCTATGTACTATTGATATCTCCAGGTAATGACTAAGTTTGGGGTTATATGCTATAAAGGCTCTCACATATATTTAACTTTAGTCAACCTTACAGCAACCCCGTGAGTTTAGCATGGCATGCACTAGTAAATTCACTATAAATGAAAAAAGTGAGCCTCAGTGAGTCAAATGCAGCTACCCAAGGTTTTACGCTAATACATAAACAACTCAGGACACAGATTCAGATTCTAACTCTAAAGCCTATATTCTTTCCCCCACAGAGAAATATATAAAATTGAACAGAGTGTCTAAAATACAAACTTTATTGTGGGTTCTCACATGTCAAACTTATTTGACATGGGTTCTCACTACAGTGTTTCAGTTAGTGAAACATGAGTGAACTCCATGAGAATAAGACTATAACTGACTTATTCATGGCGGAAGCCCTAGCACTCAGAACAGGAGGAGGTACATAAAAGGTGTGTGATTTGGACTGGTTTTCCCTAAATCAAAGCCTGAGATAAGGATTCATGGTAAAATGGGTGATTATGAAGTGTTCCCAGGAAATCCACAGAAGACTAGACAAATGGAACTAAGAAGGGAAGGATTTCTTTCCTCTTTATGACTGAGTCATATTCTATCACATCTTTGTACCACATCTTCTTTATCCATTCCTCCATTAGTGGACATTTAGCTGCTGTCCATGGAAATAACCCTAAGCCATAGAAAGGAATAAAATTGTGCCATTCGCAGAGATATGGATAGACCTAGAGACTGGCATACAGAGTAAAGTCGAACAGAGAAAAAAAATATCATATAATATGGCTGACATGTGGAATCTAGAAACCCAGTACAGATGAACTTATTTGCAAAGCAGAAATAGAGACAGATGCAGAGAACAAATGTATGAATATCAAGGTCACGGGGGCGGGGGCAGGGAGAGGGCAGAGATGAATCGGGAGTTTGGCATTGACATATACACTACTGTGTATAAAGCAGATGACTACTCAGATCCTACTCTATAGCACAGGGAACTCTGCTCAATACTCTGTGCTGATCTAAATGAGAAGGAAATTAATTCAAGAACGAGGGGATCTATGTATCCATATAACTGATGTATCCATATAACTGATTCACAGCAGAAATTAACCCAACACTGTCAAGCAACTACACTCCCATAAAAATTAATAATTAAAAATAAGAAAGGAAGGAAACCAAGCAAGGGCAGGGCCTTTAACTCCCAAGGATGGAAACTGGCTCAGTCCCACAAGTAGCTCTGGAGACAGTCTAACTTCAGACTTGTCCCTAGTAGGCGGCATGATGACTGGAACATTTATTCCTCCTCGCCTATTAATTTTTGGCTAAGGGATGCCCACTAGGGGCTATAAATTCCCAGGCCCTCTTGGTTCTTCAGGCAAAGTGGGTTCTGGCAGCTTGGGGGCAACCTTTCAACAAACAGGCACAGATGCTGACTTCTGGGAGTAAAAACACACTGGGGGTCATTATAAAAGGGTCTATGGGAACACAGACAGCACACTGACAGAATTTGGCACAGTGCTCAATAAGTATTTCCTGAATGAAAGAAAAAGATGGAAGGAAGGAAGGGCAGAATACTATGTTCCGTGTGCTTACTAATATTATCTAAGCCAAATATCCTGGCAGCATTTGCAGAGAAGTACGCTTTTCTCCATTTTACTGAAGGAAACTAAAACTCAGAATGGTTCAGTAGTTTGCCTGAGGTTATACAACTTCTAATAGTATAGCCCAGATTCAGACAGGCCCTCTAGCTTTATGGCCTCTGCACTTTCCACTGCCCCATTCATCTCATTGGGCTGTCATTCCCATGCCGCCTGGCCTCCCTTCTCAGCTCCCGGAGCAAGCTGAGCTCTCATAGGTCACGATCTGGATCAGTCTGCAGCATTCACCCTCCTGAGCCCCATGCAGATCTCTTATGTCCTTAGATCTTATCCATTTGAAACATAATCAGAAAAAAATAGGTGGACATACAGACAGTTTGATAAAGCGTTAACCCATTCTCTGTGCAAAAACAATGCAAGTTGCCAAGGTTTCATGAAGAGTTCGGTCTCCTGAAATCTCCTGGCATTTCCAGCAGACTGCAGTTTTCTGAGAATGTCTGTGTTTTCCAGAGCATGTCTGCTCAGAATGTATGAGCCAAAACCTCCTAGGGATTTTCCATCACTTGTTTATACTGTGCCTGGATCTACTCGAATGGGTTTATTATAAATAAGATAGAGTGATGGGGCTTTTTTTCATGAATTGAGACTGAAAATTGGTCTTAAATATTGTTTTCTGCTTTAAACTAACTATAAATGGCATTTAGACTGATTGCACTATTAGTAGGTAAAGAGTGCTGAGTTTTTAAGGGATTACAACCTGATTTAATATAATTATGAAACCAAATTACAATCAGAAGGATTTGGTAGGAGGTTATAAGAAGCAGCCATTTCCTTTTTTTTTTTCTGTATAATACTCAAGCCTATCCCATTAAACATTCAATTCCCTTTCAAAAGAAGAGAAAAGAAAATAGAATTGCAAATGTTCCCAGAGCTTACTGCTCTTGTTTTGGCATCAACTAACCTCTGCTTTTCCTCCAGGATCCTTCTATCTAGGAGGTTTTCTCCACCAGTCTCCATCACATTCATCCAGTCTGTCTCAGGAGATATCCTAACCACCTTCTTAATTGTACATCTAGAATAGGACTGATCTCTGTGGACCCAGTCTATTAAAGATCTGCCCTAGAGCAAAACTATGGAAGCAGATTGCATTTCATTTTTACCTTCCTTTCTTGTGGCTCCTTAACTTTCCAGGGTTTTCCTCTTTCCCCACCATGTTTCCTGGAGTGCTCACTCCCTACAGCACTGACGATTGAGAATCACTGAAGTTTTGAAACTCTCTCAAAGGCACTGCTTTTGGCAGGAGACCAAATAACAGGAGCAACAACAAAATAGGCCAAAAACCCCCACAATGCTTAACCTGAAAGGAAATCAGACAGCGTGGCAATCTCATGAGGTCATTTGTCAGGATGAAGCTTCTCAAAGTAATGCACACAGGCTGGGATCTAGTTCACTGATGGAGGTATAGAAACAAAAACAATGTCTGCTCTCCTATCAGCTTTTCATAAGAAATTTAACTACACTCACACATTGTCAGATTTATGTGATGTGAAATTTGCTCCTCTCTCCAAATGAGAAAGATACAGCCCCAGCACATCCATCTCTTTTAATTGCCCGTGTAGACATCAGAATAACCTCAACTTTTTCCTAGCTGGCATACGACTGACCACAAGAAGCATAAGTCCCACAGAGCCCAGAGCTCAGTTCAGAAAAATCATCCAGCCAACCTGTACATTCATGAGCAGTAATAAACAAATGTTGTTTTAAGCCACTAAGTTTGGAGTACTTTGTTATGCAGCAATAGCTAACTATAGTGGGACTTGTTCTTCATCATAAATAAGCTAACATTATGCAAAGCTAATGCAAAAAAAAAAATCCCCTGGAAGAAAGATACAAAGACACAGTCTCATTCTATAAATTAAATGAACTACATACATACATACACACACACACACAATCTGGTACAGTGTGTTCCTTTATTACTTGATTTATCAAATATGAAAATCGTAAGTTTGGACATGCCTGTAATTTATGAAAGTTTGCTTTTAAATAAATATTTTCTGTTTTATGGAGATTGCAAAGCAACTTACTTCAGCTCCCACCATCTTTGCACTTTACCATTATTAAAACATTCTGTCATCTGTGATATCCTTGATTCACAGGCATGTGTGCATGCTAAGTTGCTTCAGTCTTGTGATCCCATGGACCATAGCCCGCCAGGCTCCTCTATCCATGGGATTTTCTAGGCAGCAATACTGGAGTGGGTTGCCATGCCCTCCTCCAGGAGACTCCCAATCCAGGGATTGAAACCACATCTCATGTCTCCTGCAATGGCAGGTGGGTTCTTTACCACTAGCACCCCCTGGGAAGCCCCTTGACTCACATGACCCAGGAACATTTTTCTGTTCCATTTTGTTTGTGTTTGTGTTTGTTTTTTGTTTTTACTAACCATCAATTATTCTGAATGATGAAAAGAAATTAAAGTGGCAGATCTTAGTTTACCCTGAAAATGTACATTCTATGAGTTAGGCCCAAAGCAAAGGCCTTCCCCTAAAGCTGATGCCTAAAATTATTCACAAAGTGTGCCCTTTGTACAGATGTCCATTCTTGATTGCTAGGCAAATTTCCTAGAAATTAAGTGAGTATGGCTTAGATGCCTACTTAAACGTTATAGGAAATTGGTGAGTACCCCATCAGCTGTACTGAAGACTATGAATTTTCCAAACAAATAACATCAAAGCCTGGTGGTTTTTCTAGAAATAGCTTATGCATCCTATTTGTTCAATGTATCAGGCCTTGTCTCTTATCCACAGGAGACATAACTGTTGAAAATACTTCCTGGAATAGCATCTCAAAGTTTTCAGAGTGTTTCTACTTCTTATCTCAGCTTCATAATAATCATAAAGAGAGGGGAAACTAAGAATGAGAAATCTAATCAGCTTGCTCAGGGTCACACTTCAGTTCAGTTCAGTAGTTCAGTTCTGTCTGACTCTGCGAACCCAAGGACTACAGCACACCAGGCCTCCCTGTCCATTACCAACTCCTGGAGGTTACTCAAACTAATGTTTTTGTTGAGCTGGTGAGGCCATCCAACCATCTCATCCTGTCATCCCCTTCTCCTCCCCACTTCAATCATTCCCAGCCTCAGAGTCTTTTCAAATGAGTCAGTTCCTCGCATCAGGTGGCCAAAGTATTGGAGTTTCAGCTTCAACATGAGTCCTTCCAATGAATATTCAGGACTGATTTCCTTTAGGATGGACTGGTTGGATCTCCTTGCAGTCCAACGGACTCTCAAGAGTCTTCTCCAACACCACAGTTCAAAAGCATCAATTCTTTGGTGCTCAGCTTTATAGTCCAACTCTCACATCCATACATGACTACTGGAAAAACCAAAGCTTTCACTAGACAGATCTTTGTTGGCAAAGTAATGTCTCTGCTTTCTAATATGCTATCTAGGTTGATCGTAACTTTTCTTCCAAGGAGCAAGCGTCCTTTAATTTCATGGCTGCAGTCACCATCTACAGTGATTTTGGAGTCCAAGAAAATAGAGTCTGTCACTGTTTCCCCATCTATTTGCCATGAAGTGATGGGACTGGATGCCATGATCTTAGTTTTCTGAATGTTGAGTTTTAAGCCAACTTTTTCACGCTCCTCTTTCACTTTCATCAAGAGGTTCTTTAGTTCTTCTTTGCCTTCTGCCATAAGGGTAGTGTCATCTGCATGTTTGAGGTTATTGATATTTCTCCCAGCAATCTTAATTCCAGCTTGTGATGCACCCAGTCCAGATTTCTCATGATGTACTCTGCAAATAAGTTAAATAAGCAGGGTGACATATACATTTTTGACATGATCCTTTGCCGATTTGGAACCAGTCTGTTTGTTCCATGTCCAGTTCTAACTGTTGCTTCTTGACGTGCATACAGATTTCTCAGGAGGCAGGTCAGGTGGTCTGGCATTCCCATCTCTTGAAGAATTTTCCACAGTTTATTGTGATCCACACAGTCAAAGGCTTTGGTGTAGTCAATACAGCAGAAGTAGATGTTTTTGTAGAACTCTCTTGCTTTTTCAATGATCCAATGGATGTTGGCAATTTGATTTCTGGTTCCTCTGCCTTTTCTAAATCCAGCTTGAACATCTGGAAGTTCATGGTTCATGTACTGTTGAAGCCTGGCTTGGAGAATTTTGAGCATTACTTTGCTAGCATGTGAGATGAGTGCAATTGTGTGGTAATTTGAGCATTCTTTGGCATTGCCTTTCTTTGGGATTGGAATGAAAAGTGACCTTTTTCAGTCCTGAGGCCACTGCTGAGTTTTCCAAATTTGCTGGCATAATGAATGCAGCACTTTCACAGCATCATTTTTCAGGATTTGAAATAGCTCAACTGAAATTCCATCACCTTCACCAGCTTTGTTCATAGTGATGCTTCTTAAGGCCCACCTGACTTCACATTCCAGGATGTCTGACTCTAGGTGAGTGATCACACCATTGTGATTATCTGGTTCATGAAGATCTTTTCTGTACTGTTCTTCTGTGTATTCTTGCCACCTGTTCTTAATATCTTCTGCTCTTGTTTGGTCCATACCATTTCTGTCCTTTATTGAGCTCATCTTTGCATGAAATATTCCCTTGGTATCTCTAAATTTCTTGACAAAGTTTTTAGTCTTTCCCATTCTATTGTTTTCCTCTATTTCTTTGCACTGATCACTGAGGAAGGCTTTCTTATTTCTCCTTGCTATTCTTTGGAACTCTGCAATCAAATGGGTATATCTTTCCTTTTCTCCTTTGCCTTTCACTTCTCTTCTTTACTTTTTTTTTCTTTCATTTATTTTTATTAGTTGGAGGCTAACTACTTTACAATATTGTCATGGTTTTTGCCATACATTGACATGAATCAACCATGGATTTACATGTATTCCCCATCCCGATCCCCCCTCCCACCTCCCTCTCCACCCGATCCCTCTGGTTCTTCCCAGTGCACCAGCCCCGAGCACTTGTCTCATGTATCCAACCTGGGCTGGTGATCTGTTTCACCCTTGATAATATTTCACTTCTCTTCTTTTCATACCTATTTGTAAGGCATCCTCAGACAACCATTTTGCTTTTTTGCATTTCTTTTTCTTGGGGATGGTCTTGATCCCTTTCTCATATACAATGTCACAAACCTCCATCCATAGTTCTTCAGGCAGTCTGTCAGATCTAATCCCTTGAATATATTTGTCACTTCCACTGTATAATTGTAAGGGATTTGTTTTAGGTCATACCTGAATGGTCTAGTGGTTTTCCCTACTTTCTTCAATTTAAGTCTGAATTTGGAAATAAGGAGTTCATGATCTGAGCCACAGTCAGCTCCCCGTCTTGTTTTTGCTAACTTTATAGAGCTTCTCCATCTTTGGCTGCAAAGAATATAATAAATCTGATTTCGGTATTGACTATCTGGCGATGCCCATGTGTAGAGTCTTCTCTTGTGTTGTTGGAAAAGGGTGTTTGCTATGACCAGTGCGTTCTCTTGGCAAAACTCTATTAGACTTTGTCCTGCTTCATTCTCCAAGGGAAAATCTGCCTATTACTCCAGGTGTTTCTTGACTTCCTACTTTTGCATTCCAGTCCCCTATTAGGTCCCATACATGCACTGCCACACTCAGTGCCCCCAACCCTGCAGCAGGCCACTGCCGACCCATGCCACTGCCAGAGACTCCTAGACACTAAGGCAAGTCTGGGTCAGTCTCTTGTGGGGCCCCTGCTCTTTTCTCCTGGGTCCTGGTGCCACAAGGTTTTTTTGTGCCCTCCAAGAGTTTGTTTCCCTGGTCCTGTGTAAGTCCTGGTGGCTCTATGGTGGGTCACACTAGACAGTTATATGCCAAGACTCATTTCACCACCAATTCCCATTTATTTTTCAAGACCAAATTTAAATGTCACCCCCATGTGGAAGCCTTCCAGACTCCACAGGCAGAGACAGAGGCTCCATTCTATAGCTCTTTATGATATTACTGTTTGTCTTCATTATTGGTAATGATGCCCTAACTAGAAGGTGGTTTTCCACACCTCAGGAAAGCCATGTCTTGTTCATCTTATTCTCAGTGCTTAGCAAAGAGCTCTGTACATGTTTAGTACATGTTTTAATGAATTTACAGATGATTACTTTTTAAATACAAGCTATGTAAGTATCCTCTAGCATCAGTATATAGAAACAGAAAAACAAGGTGCCTAGAAGGTAAACAGAACTCGGGTTGAATTCCACTGCTGACACTTATTAACTGAGTCCCCTCCTATGGGCCACCTCACCTCACTGAGCTTCTATACCTGCGAAGGATTTCATCTACAGCCACATGGGTAAGGCTATTGCTGCTGCTGCTGCTAAGTCACTTCAGTCGTGTCCAACTCTGTGGGATCCCATAGACAGCATCCCACCAGACTCCACCGTCCCTGGGATTCTCCAGGCAAGAACATTGGAGTAGATTGTCATTTCCTTCTCCAATTAATGAAAGTGAAAAGTGAAAGTGAAGTCGCTCAGTTGTGTCCAACTCTTAGCAACCCCATGGACTGCAGCCTACCAGGCTCCTCCATCCATGGGATTTTCCAGGCAAGAGTACTGGAGTGGGGTGCCATTGCCTTCTCCGTGGGTAAGGCTAGTAGAATATAAAGAAATCTGAATGGGAAAAAGAAGAGAGGCCAACAAAAGTGGTGGTGGAAAGAGACAACTTTCTGTAGTTTCATTGTGTGACAAGAGCTACAATAATTCATAGACCCTCTAACTACATTTCTAACTTTAATCATCCAGGGTCTAACTTCCCAAGTCCTACAGTGTACAAAATGCTAGACTCCTGGCATATAGTTGAATGAAAAAACCATCATTCTGGTCTGCACAGAACACATCATTTACTTGAGGGGAAGAGGGAAGACACTCTTGAACATCCCATGGTTTGTTACTATTAGAAATTCAATGGAGAAAACATTTTTTTTTCCAGTAACAATACCTGCTCAAACAAAATTCATATTTTTCAACTTTGGCGGTAGTGGTGATTTTGAAGAATATATATTTCCCATATCTGAGATACTTATATACCACCTAGGTCCCCATCCACCTACCCTTCTACCACGTGCACAT